GTTTCTCTGTGTAGCTTTGGAGCTTATCCTGGCACTTGCTCTGGAGACCCGGCTGGCCTCGAACTCACAGAGATCCGCCTGCCTTTGCCTCTCGAGTGCTGGGATTAAAGGCGTGCGCCACCAACGCCAGGCTTGATTGTTCTTCTATGTAATTGTTTTATATGGGCTGGCAGGCATGTAGAATGAGCACCCTCTCTGGAGGATGGCACAGTAGGACCTAGTCTCTATTTTAAATGCTCATGGCTCTTTGATCGAGCTAATCCTTTCTGTTTAGTTTTATTTTATTGAGACATGTAGCTCAAGCTAGCTCAAACTCATTATGTATCTGAAACTGGCCTTGAACTCCTGATCGTCTTGCTTCTATCTCCCACCAGACAAGCTATTCCATTTGGAAAATCTCTTGTATAAACACATACTCCAGGATGTTCACTGCTGTGCACTTTAAAACTGAAAACATGCCTGGCCATGGTGGCACACGCCTTTAATCCCAGCACTCGGGAGACTGTGGATCTCTGTGAGTTTGAGGCCAGTCTGGTTTACAGAGTGAGTTCCAAGATAGCCAAGGCTACACAGAGAAACCCTGTCTCAAAATAAAAATCCAAAAACAAATAAACAAAACTCTGAAAACTTGGAAACAGCCTATATTCATTAGGGGTAGCTAAATCAAACTAATCAGAGAATACACTCAGCTCAATGAACAAAATCTATTCATAGAAAGTTATAGTGTGTAAAAAGATGAATGGGGGGCTGGGGATGTAGGTTAGTGACAGAATGCTTGACATCATGCACAAGGCTCTGGACTCAACCCCAAGTGCCCCCATCCCTGACACATGCACACACATCTGTGTATGCCTATTAGCTACTTTTGGAAAGATACAAACATCTGTTCACTGTGGTCACCTGTGACCCTATGTTTCAAGGCTCAAGTGTAGCAGCCCCTGTTGAAGACATGACTACCCCGTGACTTTGCCAAGTAGAGCTAGAAGCCTGGGCCCTGGGTGGGGCACATTGGAGCCTGAAGCTCAGCCACTGAGAGGCAGACCTGAACTAAGCAACCCCCTCTCCTGTCGATCCCCAGGGCACACCATTGGACTCTCCCAGGACACACTCCTGGAACAGCTGGCCCTCCTGTGTGCCACTCAGTCCAGAGTCTGCAACCCTACCTGGAAGATTTCTGCTGACAAACCCAGAGACACAGAGGAGTGGGAAGCCAGAAGCAGGTGGGCCTTCCCATCAGCCACACCCACAGCCATTTCTTTAGAACCTGCCTGTCTCTAGGCAGTGTTAATTGTGCCTATTGTTGGAGCTCTTGGCATGTCCCTTTGGGAAGGCATCTAATTAGGCAAATGCTCCACTATCTATTTTTACTGATGGGGAAACTGAGGTTCAGATTGCCATGTCCCTCCCAGGCCATCAATGGCAGAGCTGTGTATGGATCCCCAAAGCTGTGCCTCATTCCTGAACACTACAGGCGCTTCATCTTAGCCTCCCACCTGACTTCCCTGGGAACAGCAGGATTATCATGGAATCCTGCCCCTCTGGCCAAGTTGATTGGTCTGACCTTGGCCAGGTGAGCCCAGCCAGGCCAATGAGAGCCTTTCCCTAGAAGCTTGTGGTTTGGCTTGGGTTGGAGGATGAAAGGGCCATGGGCAGCTGCCACCTGTCCTTCGACAAGGAGAAAAGCAAGCTGGGGCAGAGTGAAGCTGGGGACAGCAGAGATGGAGATGGGGTCCCCTGAGCCCTGACATTCCCTCCTTCCCTACACTGCTTTTTCCACTGTTTTCAGGAGTCTGGGAACTTTCCCCCTGAAGTTGTTGTGGGTTCTGCCTGGCTAGCTGAAGAAACAGACATAGCTAGGCCTGTGCTTTCTAGTCTGATAGAGGACTGAACTCAGGGCCTCACACATGCTAGGCACATGTTCTACTCTACATGGTATCCCAAATCTTCTTTTTATCATTAAAGTCTTGCTAAGAGGCTGGAGAGATGGCTCAGCGGTTAGGGATACTGGTTGTTCTTCCAGAGGACACAGGTTTGATTCCCAGCACCACATAGTGATTCACAACTGTCTACAACTCCAGTTCCAGGAGATCTGATTCCCTCTCTGGGCTCTGTGAGTACTATGCATACAAAACATGTGCAGGCAAAACACTCATTCACAAAAATCTTTTTTAAAGTACATGTATAGTCTTGCTAAATTGCCTAGGCTGGCCTTGAACTTTCTATCTTCCTGCCTCAGCCTCCTGAGCACTTGGACAGGCTTGCCCACAAGCCTAGTTGATACACAGCATGTCAGACTTGCTCAGTTCTGGGAAATAGTGCTGGCCTGTCCCAAAGGTGACCTTGAGAACAGATGGGTTCCAAGTGCCCACCAGCACACAACAGGCACGCCATTAGTAGCTGCCATGAGCACACTATTAGACCTGCCCAGTGGGTGGCAGGAATCACATAGAAGGGCCATTTTCACCCTCCCATTGCAGAAGTGCTTTAGTAGAGCCGGGCTTTCAAACTGAGCCAGCCCAGAAGCTGGCAGGGAGTAGGAGGCTGAAGACCGAGCCTCCCACCGTTTTCATCGACCTGCGGCAGAAGGAGCCGTCAGAACCACAGGAGCATCAGGAGAGGTACATTGGCAATGCCAAGAACTGTGCCTGCCCAGGGGTGGTGGGGGGCAGCAGGCAAAGCCCATCTGGGTTGAGCACATTGTACTTTTCCTTCAGCTCATGGCAGGAAGCCCAGGGGCTCTTAGCTTTGACTGGCTACCACTCCTCTCAGATTCCCAGGGAGGTTGCTAGGTGAGGGGAAGGCCTGGCAAGGTGGCTGGGGCACATCCTGAGAATCCATTTCTTCTACTTGCAGCTCTGTATATAGCTCCTCTGACAGTGAGGAGGAAGATGTGGAGGCAGCAGACCCAGTACAGGGGGCAGTCCCCCGGGAACGGAGGTAACCTTTGAGTCTCCCCCTCTGCATTGGGAAGCTCCCTCCCTGGGCACTGGGCCCCCTAGACATGTGGGCCAGCATCTGTTGTGGTGGGAGTGGGTATAATGATACCCATTGTGTTTTATAACCTGGCATATGGGAAGCCTGTGTGGCCAGGCCTGCTGTATCCAGGCACCATGAGTGACATCAAGCTCCTCACCCCAGCTTAGCCCCCACCCCAGCCTCTGAAAACAGCCCCCCAATTTGATCTGCTGCTGGTCCCAGCAGTAGTAAAGAGAAAATGTAGGGTCAGCTGTTAGCCAAATTTGAAAAGAGCCATAAATTAAAGAGCAGTGTCCAATCGGGGACATGCCTGAGGCCCCAGACTGTGGTCACAGGATGAATGAGAAATGTGGGTCACAGCTGCCTGCAGCACTGGGAATTTCTGAGCTGAGATGTAGAATGTGGACATCCCTGGAACACTGGGTAAGAAGTGTTGGGAGGGTCCCTGCTTGAGCCTAATACAGCAGCAGCTACACAAAGTTTTGGCTTTTCCTTTGCACCTGCTCCCACAACACCCCAGGCAAGGCCTTGCTCATTCAAGCAAAGGGAGTCAAGGTCAGTGTGTTCCTTTGCCCTGCTCTGAGGCACTAGCTACCTTGTTGCCAGGCACCAGGCCTAGATCCTGTTACTGCTGCAGCTCTAGCCATGAGAACTGGGCCACACTTGGACTGGCCCTTCAGCTTATTGCTTCATCTCTTCAGGCCATGATGTTTTTATCCAGACAGAGGAGAGAACTGTAGTTCCTACCTCAGAGGACTCCAAAGCAATGCGCATGGGAAATGTGGTTGATGCCAGCTATGTGGTGGCTCAGGGTTTGGATGTTAAAAATGTTCCCTTCTGTGTGGATGGGAAATTAGCCACACATCTGTGGACAATGCTTACCATAAGAACATCTCTGGTCCATAGTTTTGTTTTTTCTTTTCTTTTAAGACAAGAGTCTGACTCTGTAGCCAGGGGGCCTCAGACTCACAGCAGTCCCCCTGCCTCACTGTGCCAGCCGGCATGCTTTCCGGACATTTCCATCTGTTGGATTTAACCTATCTAAGAACATTTGTTCTGTTGCCTCTACTGTTGAGTGGGGAGTAACTGTCCTCATGCAGCTGCTTCTGGCAAAGGCTTGATGCCTGTCTTAGTTAGGGTTACTATTGCCATGATGAAACACCGTGACCAAAGCAACTTCAGAAAGAGAGGGTTTATTTCACTCACAGTTCCATATAACAGTTCATCACCAAAAGTGGTGAGGGCAAGAACTCACACAGGAGCTGATGCAGAGGCCATGGAGGAGTGCTGCTTACTGGCTTGTTCCTTATGGCTTGCTCGAACTGCTTTCCTACAGATGCTAGGACCACCAGTCCAAGAATGGCACCACCTGCAATGGGCTGGCCCCTCCCCCAACAGTCACTAAAAAATGCCCTACAGCTGGGTTTTATGGAGGCCTCTTTTGTTTGTTTTTTGTTTTTTTTGAGATAGGGTTTCTCAGTGTAACACCCCTAGCTGTCCTGGATCTCGCTCTGTAGACAAGGCTAGACTCAAACTCAAAGAGACCCACCTGCCTCTGCCTTCCAGTGCTGGGATTAAAGACGTGCACCACCAACACCCAGTGTTGGAGGCATTTTCTTCATTGAGGTTCCCTCCTTTCCGGTGACTTTAGTGTCAAGTTGACATAATACTAGCCAGGATAATGCCCATTGCTAAGGAGGAAATCCACAAGGACTGGCATTTCACATGCTTCCCAATCAGACTGTAGTGGCTGCTGGACATTGCTGGATGCATGCCCTTGCTTTAGAGTGGGAACTGCAACCGCATATGACATTCCTCCTTTTTCAGTGTTGGGAGGTCTGGCCTTTAGGTGCTAGGCGTTAGGCTGGTTTTTCTGTGTCACAGGGACTGTACTGGGAAGAGCCAGCTTCTCCAGCAGCTGAGGGCATTTCGGAAGGGGGGTGTTGCATCCCAGCTATCCACCAGTGACAGTCCTGGAGGCCAAAAGACTCAAGCCCCAGAAGATACAGCTGGATTACAAACTGGGAGGAAGAAACACATAAAACTCTGGGCTGAGAAGCAGAATGCCCTGGATCTAGGGGAACCTCTTGGGACACAGCCAGCCAGAGATATGCTGCTACCTGCTATGGGCCAGCTATATTCAACTCAGGTAAAGGATCTGAAAAGCAGGCCTGGTGGCAGATTTCTATCCACACAGCCCTGATGGTCCTTCTGCAGCCCACCTATTTTTAATAGCACGGGCCTCTGGGTGCTGAGACCCTCGCTCTGACCCTATCCAGCCAGTTTAAACATATTTAAACTTTTTTGTTGTTGGTGGTGTTGGGAACTGTATCCAGGACCTCATGTAAGCAATTACTCTGGCACTGAGCTTACATCTCCTGCTCCCATATTTAAATGTATTTATAGTTTCCTATAGAAACTTTGCCCAGGTTCTTGGATTTCTGGTATTTTGTGTACCTAAGTTAACACACACATATGTCCATACCCATGCAGACTTGATGTACTTTGTGAAAAAAAGGGGCAACAGCTGAAATTTGCTTTCTCTGTCTTTTTACCCAAGACACAAAAGCACACATAGGCTCCAGGTAATTCCAAGTTGAAGTGGCACTGATCTTTGCTAGTCTGGAGATGGAACACCATACCTACCAGCAATTCCAACACCAGAAGCCACACTGTGTGAAATGCAATAGTGCACACTCTCCCTCCTTGGTACACAATGGAAGCTGTGTGTGTGACCAGCCAAGGCCTGGTCCTTACAGGGGACACCTGAGCTTCCTCTACCTGGTTACTTTGCAAGACATGTCTCCCCTCCCCAGACTCCATCTTTAGGGTCTTTCTGTACCTGCTTCCTCAGCCCCTTTGATTTCCTGTCACCTCATCTCCCCAGAGTCTTCCCAGGCCTGCTCCACGGAAAAGCAGAGTAGCCACTACCAAGGCAGGGCTTGGGTGGCATGGCAGGGTTCAGGTGGCAGGGCAGAGTATTTGACATCTGACAAATGTTTTAGCATTCAGTTGTGGCAGGAGGGGTGTGTGGGGGTGTCACTGCCAGTTGTCCTGCTGCTGAAGATAGACAAGGATCTTCGTGTCAAGTCCTGAGCCACACAAAGGACAGGTCCTATGGCAGAATTACAGGCAGATCACTGTTGTCATCAAGTCCACAGAATCCTATTCCACAAACCCCGTCTGATTTGGCCACAGGGACTGCATCATTAGGCCTAATCCCAAGGCATATCCTTTAGAAGCCACATGCAAGTTAGGCCTCCACCAAGGCCATAAGCAGCTTCCCTGTAAGGGAGGCCAGGCTGCCCTGCCCAAGTGCAGAGGTCCAGGGCATCATGGCTCTACCGTCTGCCCCACAGTTTCCACTTCAGCCACTTAGTCATCAAGAATAAAAGTGCTTTGTTCCTAAACCCACTTTCTCCCAACTCCACCTCACTTAATGCTAGAAAACCTGTTGAGAATGACATATAGTGATAGGAAATAAATTCTGCTGCAGTTTCGACTGTGCCTGTCAATCACTGGCTTTCGAGGAAATCTGCAGGGTGGTGGTGGGCAAGCAGACCTGGGTCCAAAGCCAGATCTACCACCTGGGCAATGTCAGCATGCTTCAGAAGATCACACAGGAGATGGGGGGTGGCTGAGAAAACGCGTACAAAAGGATTCAAAGGGTGGGGTCCTGGGGCTGTGAAACTGAGGGTCACCTGTAGGACCAGGGAAGTGTCAACATGGTACCCACCTAGCATTACAAATTCTCCGGTTTCCTTATCAGGAATGACAAGGCCATGAGGTGAAGACCGGATCCCAAACAGGAAAGGCCACAATAGGTGGTGTGTGGTGGGGGAAGGGCTCCATATGAGAAGCCCAAGAAATGTTAATGCCCATCAGACTGCTCCCTGTGCTATCAGCAGGGACAGGAACCTAGGGCCAGGGTTGCATAGCCTGTTAGGTCTTAGTCAGGGGCCTGGGTGCCTCTTCTGTTTCCATGTGCACCTGAGTGAGCTTGAGGCTGGTTTAGGAGATACATACCAAAGCTTCATTCTCTAGAGAACATGGGATCAGGATGAGGACTGGCATTTATTAAGGGAGTGAAGGAAAAGCAAGAAACAATCCTGAGTGATGGTGAAAGCATAAAGTAGGTGACACACAAAATGAAACATCAAAAATGACACTCTGGGGATGGGGAGAGGGCTCAGCAGCTAAAGGTACTGTATTTGCTGCCTGGGACCCACAGATGGGGACAACCAACCTCTGACCTCCACACACCTGCACATATATACACATGATAAATGGTTTTTAATATGTCTATGGATGCTTTGCATGTACATCTATTTGCACATCTGAAAAGGTCATTGGTCCATAAGACTACGGTTAGAGATACTTGTGAGCACCATGTGTAATGAGTCTCTGTCCCACCAGCCAGCTCCCACATACCAACACAGAGACTTATTATAAAAGTTTGGCCTATAGCTTAGGCTTGTTCCTAACTAGCTCTTGTAACTTAACCCATTTATTTTAATCTGCATTCTGTGGTGTGGCTCATTAACTCATCTCTCCATACTGCCAATGCTGCTTCCTCTGCATCTGTCTATTGACCCTGCCTTTCTTCTTCCCAGAGTCCTCTCTGTCCCTGGAAGTCCCACCTAACCTCTTCCTGTCTAGCTATTGGACATTCAGTTCTTTATTAAACCAATCAAAAGGCACCTTGGCAATGATGCATCTTCACAGTGTAAACAGATATTCAGCAACAACCATATGGGTGCTTAGAATTGAACTCTGGACCCCTGAAAGAGCAGCCAGTGCTCTTAACCACTGAGCCATCTCTACAGCTCTGATAATTTTTAAAAAATTTATGTGTGTTGGTATTTTGCATATGTGAATGTCTGTGTGAGAGTGTTGGATCCCCTGGAACTGAAGCTACAGTTGTGAGCTGCCATGTGAGTGCTGGAAAGGAATCCAGACCTCTGGAAGAATAGTAAATGCTCTTAATTGCTGAGTCATCTCTCCAGCCCCTTCAGGAATGTGAGGTTGTAATGACTTCACTAAACCAAAGATAAATGATAAATGGTTGTTTATTGAGGAACAATTACACAGAAAAAGAAATGCTGGAGCATTTCCTGCCCTTCCTACAGGATCAGCTGACCCACCATAAAGACAGAGGGAAGGAAAGCCATGCCTCAAGCTTCCCTCCTCCTGTCTGAAACCACACCCAAAGCGGTGTGGCCATCATTACAGGTTCACAGACCAGCTGCCTACACCTTCACGTGGTAATTTTTTTTTTTTAAGATTTAGCTATTTGTAATGTATACAGTGTTCTGTCTGCATGTATCCCTGAAGGCCACAAGAGGGTACCCTATCTCACTACAGATGGTTGTGAGTCATCATGTGGTTGCTGGGAATTGAACTCAGGAAGACCAGCTAGTGTTCTTAACCATCTCTCCAGCCCCATGATAATTTTTTTTTTTTAAATATATTCAGCCATGAGGAACAACCATACTACCTGGATGGAACATCCCAGAATTCCACAGCTTCAAAGGCTGCCTCAAAACTTCAGTAACCACTGATAAGTATGGTTGTTGGGTTCCTCCGCTGAGGTAATGAATCAGATCAGTCTAAATTAATAAATCCAGGTTTAATCTGAGCAAAGAATTCCCTGGTGGCCCCAGGGCAAGAGGAGAAAACCACCAGGGGAAACCACTAGAAAGTTTTTCTATACCTTCCAGGGATGGAACTGCAGATGGCCAGCTTTCTCAGAGGTGGGGTTTGGAATGGGAGGAATGGGGCTAGGTGGAACTTCCCAACAGGAAGGAAGGAAAGAAGGAAGGAAAGTTTCAATTAAAGGGGCATTAGCAACCACTTTAAACTGGAAGTGGGGATGGATTCTCCACCAAGTCCTATGGGAACAAACATCCCTGCCAACATTAGTCTATGGGGCCTGTAATGCTGGAGACACATGCATCCTTTGTGCAGCCGTATCAGGTGTATAGGGAGCTGGCTCAGCCAACATCATGAGGACTACCTTGTCCATAATGCCTGTCATAGACTGACTCCCAGGGCCTCAGTTCTAGACCTGACAGGCTGCTCAGCCCATGAAGAGGACTACATTACCTGTAATACACCTCACAGCTGTTAGCCTTCATTTTACAGGCTGATCCACAGTATGCATTGTGGGTAATTCAGTTCAGTTGCTAAGTCACTAATCTCATTTCATCCATTCCTGAGAGAGGATAAGAAAAATCGTGATGGAAGAAACCTTGGAAGTTTGTTATTAACTTGTACATTGGTGTTTTGCCTGTGTGTGTCAGTGTGAGGGTACCAGATCCCCTGGAACTGGATTTACAGACGGACCATTGTGAGCTGCCTTGTGGGTGCTGGAATTGAATCTGGGCCCTTTGGAAGGGCAGCTAGTGCTTTTAAGCACCGAGCCACCTCTCCAGCTCTGTGAACTCTCTTAATAAACTGTGATGTTGTATACAATGACTTATCCCTAGATTCTTGTCTGTGTCCTCACTGGGCTGAGGATATAGCTCAATTGCTGAAGTGCTCACCATGCAAGCTTGAAAACCTAAGTTTGATTCCAGGAATCCATGTTAAAATAGAAAAAAGCCAAGTGTGATGGCCTACTTTGCAATTGAAGCACTGGCAGGGGGTGGGCAGAGACAGGTGGAAGCCTGAGGTTCTATATCCAGGCTTCCTAGCCTACTTGACACGTCCCAGGCCAAAGCACAAAAACAAGGTAGATGGCTGGCTCCTGAGGAACACCACCAAAGAAACAAACACTGGACACACACATGCTAGCTTACATATCCTGAAACACAGTCCATTGGGGGAAGCCAGGGCAGGAACCTAGTGGCAGGAGCTAATATAGAGCCATGGATGGGTGCTGCTTCCTGGCTTGCTCCACATGGCTTGTTCAATTTGCTTTCTTTTTCTTTTCAAGACAGGGTTTCTCTGTGTGGCTTTGGAGTCTATCCTGGCACTCGCTCTGTAGACCAGGCTGACCTCGAACTCACGGAGAGCTGCCTGCCTCTGCCTCCCAAGTGCTGAGATTAAAGGCGTGCACTACCAACACCTGGCACTTTTTCTTTTAAAGATTATGCATACAGTGTTCTGCCTGAATGTATCCCTGTAGGCCAAAGAGAGCACCAGATGTCATTCTAGATGGTTGTGAGCCATGATGTGGTTGCTGGGAATTGAACTCTGGAAGAGCAGCCAGTCCCCCCCCCCCCCCCCCCCCCCCCCTTTTTTTTTTTTTTTTTTTTTTTTAAAGACATGGTCTCTCACTGAACCTGGACCTCACTGATTGGACTAGAATGGGTGGCTACTCCCCCAGTGCTGGGACTGCAGTTACTTTTACATGGGTGCTGAGGACCCAAACTCAAATCCTCATGATTGTTCAACAAATAAATACTTGACCTACTGAACCCTCTCCCCAGCCTAGCCCATCTACTTTTCAGAGTTCCAGAGAGTTCTATGAGAGTACAACTCATAGGCTCTGCCATGGGCCCTCAACCCTGTGCCCACATTCCATTGCATTTGTGTAGCTCTGTCTCCCTTCCATTTCCACTGACTGCAGCAGGCATGTTCTAGGACTCAGTTTGTTTGTCTGAGTGTCACATGGTGCTGCAAGTGTGACATTGCCATCCCTACTGTATAGGTTTGGAGACTGAGGAAAAGGAAGAACCAGTGTCTTGTCCCCTGGGGATTTCCCACCAACTACAATGCCGTGGTAGCTCAGCAGAGACAAAGGTTAGAGCATCAATAATGTTGGGGTAGGGCAGCAATAAGTTCTCGTGGCTTAACCGGGGCTAGGAGTGAGAGGTCATGACAGCAGGAGGAGCATGGCTGGTACCCAGGCTCTGGTTTGAGGGGTTGGGGGAGGAAAGGAAGCACAGAATGGAGAGGGTCATCCTTCCTCCTACCTTGGATCTCTGGTCTCGCACTGTTAAAAGGGAAGTAGTTGTAGTATCATGGGTCTTAAATCTCAGAAATAGGGAATCTGAGACAGGAGGACCAGTTATTAAAGTGTATTTAATAGCTTAAGTAACTTAACCTTATCTTGAAAAAATGTACACACACACACACACACACACACACACACACACAGAGAGGTATATATTAAATTGAGTATTTACATAAATGCATATTTAAGATAAATATACATTTAAAGTATATGTGGGAGGACTTGTCTCATCATTTGAGTAGCAATATATAAATATATGTTTATCATATCCTGCCCCCTTTTTTTGAGACAGGTCTCTCTGTGTAGCCCTGATTGTGCAGTACTTGGTCTCTAGACCAGGCTGGCCTTGAACTCAGAGATCTACCTGCCTCTGCCTCTGCCTCCTGAGGGCTGGGATTAAAGGTGTGTGACACCACCACCTCCACCACCTCCACCACCTCCACCACCTCCACCACCACCCAGCATATTTATCATATTCTAAGGTAAGTACTGTTCTACTGAATTACATTCTCAGTCCAAGAATACACACACACACACACACACACACACACACACACACACACACACACACACTATACTGCAGCCCAGTATGGCTTCTAATTGACTATCTAGTTAAAGATAACCTTGAATTTCTTTTGTGTGTGATAAGGTTTCTCTGTGTAGCCCTGGCTCTCTTGGAACTTGATCTGTAGACCAGGCTGGCCTTGAACTTAGAGAGTCCCCAGCCTCTGCCTTCCAAATGCTGGGATTAAAGGCATGTGCCACCACTGCCCAGTGGATTCCTTTTTTTTTTTTTTCAATGAGAATTTACTACTCAAAAGTTGGGCTTATCCTGGATATGAACCAGAAACCTCTCACACCCTAAGGAAGACTCATGCCCCTAGACCAGCAAGCCTCCAAACCTTGAACTTCTTATCCTGTTTCTTCCTTCTGGGTGCTAGGATTGCAGATGTGCACTCTACCGGCTTTTTGTGTGCTGGAGGACCAACCTGGGGCTCTGGGCATGTCAGTCATTCTACCAACTGAGCCACATCCACAGCCCCAAGCATCATATTTTTATATCAGACTGGCTCATAGGACTCATTTACAAACCCTTTAGTTGTCAAAGCACAGCTTTTTGTACAAAGCAACATTGGTTTCTCATAGATGCTCTAGGGCATGGGTGTGTGTTGTGGGCTGGCCGCTGAGGAGTGGAGAAGCCTGGCAGGCCTAGATGACCCTTCAGCACTCATCTTCTCTGGGATCCTTGTTATCTCGCTTTCGGGCCTTCCCTGGTCCAGGAGACATCAGCTGTCCTGGGGAGGCTGGGGCCAGGTTAACCCAGCCTGGCCCTCGGGGCAGCAAGTGGCTCTCATTGAGTCTGAGGACCCGGTAGTTCTCATAGTGGACATTGTGGGTGATGTCCTTCAGGTCCTGGAGATGGGAGCTGAATAATAGGAGGCAAGTCAGCCTAGGCCATAATGCTCCCAGGCCCCACCCCCCATTTTCAGCCAAACACAGGGTACCCCACACCTCACCGGATGAGCAGGTCTCTCAGGAGAAGAAACTCACAGTGTGCCATGTTCTCCACTGCAAGACATGGGGCCTAGCACGGCTCTGTCCTCTCGGAGAGGACAGAGTAGAAGGCTGTTGCATGTTATGGTGCCTTCTGGATCTGCCATGCCATGTCCCTCTTCCTCCTCCTCCTCCTCCTCCTCCTCCTCCTCCTCTTCCTCCTCCTCCCCAGATCATTCATTCACTTATTCATTTATTCACTTTTGTATCTGCGGCCTGGCTCCTACAAATAGTTGCCAAACTAGTGAACTCACCCTCTGCCAAAAGCAAATGCATGTTTTTTTTTTCTTTTTTTCTTTTTGAGTCAGGGTCTCAGATAGCCCAGGTTGGCCTCAAACTTGCTAAGTAGCCAAGGATGACCTTGAACTTCTGATCCTCCTGCCTCCACCTCTCCCATGCTAGGATTACAAGCATGCCACCATGCTAGTTCCATGGTTTTTTTGTTGTTGTTGTTTTGTTTTTTTGGTTTTTTTCGAGACAGGGTTTCTCTGTGTAGCTTTGGACCCTATCCTGGCACTCGCTCTGGAGACCAGGCTGGCCTCAAACTCACAGAGATCCGCCTGCCTCTGCCTCCCGGGTGCTGGGATTAAAGGCGTGCGCCACCAATGCCCGGCTAGTTCCTGTTTTTAATAATGATAATAGTAAACCAGGGAGCTGAGTGAGGTGTTCCAGAACTGTAATAACAGCACTTGAGAGGCTGAGGTAGGAGGACATTCTACTTCCAAGCACTTGGAGGGCCTACATTAAATTTTGGCAAGCCCAAGGTTGCCTTCCAGGGCAGCTGCCCTGCAAGGGGTGTGAAGGATGCAAGGATGTGGTGGATGTAGAGTGTTCCCTGTTTCCAACCCCCACCCGCTGCCTGCCCACCATGTCCCCAGACTCACCTTCAATGATGCCCCATTTGGTCTTCCGGCCCAGGACACACCTCCCATTCACCACATGCTCTCGGTCAGCCCCGACCACAGCAAAAGGGATCTGCTCCTAAGAGAGAGGGGATAAGAAACTGAGGCAGGAGGCAGGCACGTAAAACTAAGGAAGTCCCAAAATACCTACTGGGATTCATGCTACCCTCACCTCCCCCTGATGGTGAAGTGCCCAGCAGAGTAACCCAAGGAAGTTGTATTGTTATTAACTCCCACGTTAATAATATAGTCTTGGGGGAAAGAGTGTGGCTCAGAGCTTTGCACGAACAAGGTCCTGATTCCCCCGAGTGAATGCGTGCATGTGTGTGCTCATGTGTGTGCACATGCACACGAGCGTGCACACACACACGAGAGAGAGAGAGAGAGAGAGAGAGAGAGAGAGAGAGAGAGAGAGAGAGAGAGTATAATATTGGAATATCATACTTAGGAACGAGACAAAAATGATTTTCAGAAGTTATAATCAGGGGCTAAGTAGGACTTATATATAGCAAGGGCTGGAGCCTTGTAACTAATGGCCAAATTGAGCTAGCCTCCTCATGTTTTCCTTCATAAACTTTTAAGAATACCTCATAAGGATGGATGTGGCGGCACATGCCTTTAATCCCAGCACTTGGGAAGCAGAGGCAGAAGGATCTCTAGGAGTTTGAGGCCAGCCTGGTCTACAGTGAGTTCCAGGACACCCAGAGCTGGGTAGATAGACCACGGCTCAAAAGCCAAGCAAATAAACAACAAAACTCTCATGATAAGCAGGAGTTTACTTAAAAATTTAATTACCTTTATTTTTCATTTGTGTGTATGTGTACATGCATGTATGTGTGGGTACATGATACATTGTCATAGGGCAATTTGGAAGTTAGTTATCTCCTTCTACCACGTGGGTCCAGAGAATGGAATTCAGGTCATTAAGCTTGGTGGCAGACACCTTTACCCATTGAGCCATCTTACCAGCTCCATCATAAACCTAAAACGATTCTTCTAATTTATTATTTGAATTACAGGTTATTTATTTTTAGAGACAGGATCTTACTGGGTACCTCAAAGTTAACTTGCTGTACAGACCAGGCCGAACTTAAACTCACAGAGATCCTCCTCCTGTACGTCCCAAGTACTGGGATTAAAGGTGTGTGCCACCATGTCTGGCTTTGACTTTTTGAAATTACATTTTTTTTCCAGACAGTGTTTCTCTATGGCTTTGGAGGCTGTCCTGGAACTAACTCTTGTAGACCAGGCTGGTCTCGAACTCACAGAGACCCTCCTGACTCTGCCTCCCAAGTGCTGGGATTAAAGGCATGCATCACCACGGCCTGGCTTGAAAGTACATTTGTGTTTATTTTTTTAAATTTTTTTGATTTTATTTATTTATTATGTATATAACATTCTGCTTCCATGTACATATGCACACCAGAAGAGGGCATCAGATCTCATAATGGATGGTTGTGAGCCACCATGTGGTTGCTGGAAATTGAACTCAGGACCTCTGGAAGAGCAGTCAGTGCTCTTAACCTCTGGGCCATCTCTCTAGCCCTTATGTATTTATTTTTAAAGATTTAAAAGTAGGGGCTGGAGAAAAGGCTCAGTTGTTAAGAGCACATGTTCTTGTAGAGGACACAAGTTCGATTCCTAGCACCCACATCAGGCAGTTTACAACTGCCCAGAATTCCAGCTTCAGGAAGTCTACCTCTCTAACCTTTTTGGACACACATGTACAGACACACATATATGCACATAAATAAATAACAAAAATTTTTAAAAGACTCAAAATTATTATTTTAAATTCTGTATATGTGTGTTCATATAGGTGTATGTACATGTGAGGGATATTGGATCCCCTGAGCTGAGTGACAGGTGATGGTGAGTTGCTGGACCTGAGTGCTGGAAACAGAACTTAGGTCTTCTGGAAAAGCATCCAGGCTCCTAACCTTCTCTAATGTGTGTGTGGGGGGGGGGGGGAGAGGGAGAGGGTGCAAGTGCATTTGTGTGGAGGTCAGAGGACCACTTAAGGGAAGCGGTTCTCTTCTTCCACCATGTAGTTCCCAGGATTGCATTGAAGTCACTCGGCTTGAAGCAAGCACCACTAACTATTGCGTCTTCTAGCCAGCCCCTGTTCTTTGAATTTTAAGTTTGTTTTCTGAGACAAGATCCCATGTATTCCAGATTGGCCTTGAACTCACTACGTAGCCAAGAATGAGCTTGAACATCTGATCCTCCTACCTTCACCTCTTAAGTGCTGCATTACAGGTGAGCACTGCCATGTTCATTTTCTTATTATTGTTTGGAATACTGGAGATGAAAATCAGGGCCTTGGGCATACTAGACACATGCTCTACTCTGAGCTACACACCTATGGACCTGGGATGTTTCTTTTCTTTCTTTCTTTTTTTTTTCCCCGAGACAGGATTTCTCTGTGGCTTTGGAGGCTGTCCTGGAACTAGCTCTTGTAGACCAGGCTGGTCTGGAACTCACAGAGGTCCCCCTGCCTCTGCCTCCCGAGTGCTGGGATTAAAGGCTTGCGCCACCACCGCCCGGCCTGGGATGTTTCTTTTCTGTGGTGATAGGGACCAAGCCCAGGGCCTCCACACACTCTACAAACATGCAACTTTATTGGCTCAAAAGTCCATTTGTAGCCAGGCGGTGGTGGCACACACCTTTAATTCCAGCACTCAGGAGGCAGAGGCAGGCGGATCTCTGTGAGTTCGAGACCAGCCTGGTCTAGAAAGCTACACATAGAAACCCTGTCTCGAAAAAAACAAAACAAAACAAAACAAAACAAACAAAAAAAAAGAAGTCCATTGTTTTCCCTCCTCTGGAGTTGCTCCCAAGCCACACTTGCAGGGTCAGCAGTAGATCTAGGCCCAAAGAACCTAAAATATTCACCACCTTGCCACCCTTGCAGGAGTCACACCTGGCCACTCACGAAGTAGTTTGCCAGGCACTATACTGGTTTTCTCACCTGTGGCTGAAAAGAGTAATTCAAATTTGTCAGCCCCCCAGTCCTTGGTTTTCTTGAGAGGAGGGATCACAAAATAGCCCAAGCTAATGTAACCCAGGCTGGTCTTGCATTCACAATCTTCCTGTCTCAGCCTCCTGGGTGCTAGGGTTACATTAACTAATAGTTCAATTTTTAATAATTATAATTACATTTGTATTTTTTATTTATACTTGAATCTGTGCCTGTGTGTACACATGAAAGGTGTATGCCACCATGTCTGATTTCCCCTGTCCATTTTAAAATTTGGTTATCTTTTACTGTTGAGTAGTAAGAGTTCTTTACATATTAGAATGTAAGTTCTGAGTAAAGGCATAGCTGGCAAACATTTCCTCCCATTCTGTGGGTTCTCTGGTGAGAGCCATGTCTTGCTCATCTTGAATTTGTGAATGGCTGAAGAATCTTTAAATTTATACACACATTTCCTGAAACCGAGGAAAGAGATCCATTTCTTGATGGAAAGGATGTGTGAGAGAAAATGGAATGGCCTTAGTGTCACTGGCCTTCTGCACCTTTTGTAACATCTTACCCGGATCTTACTGTTAAGGAGCTGGTCGTTGACATCCTCATCGAAACACTTCTGTGGATACACATCGATGCAGTGAGTTTTCAGATTTTGCTGGATCTGGGGGACCAAGCATATGTGATCTCAGCATACCACTCATTCCTCACTGTTCACACAGACCCAGCTCCACCTTGGGTACCCAGATCACCCTGCTTCTGAAGGCGTCTCTTTCTTCAATGGTCAGGCTGTCAGCCCGAGCGATCACTGGCACCACATTCACAGTCCGGCACAGCCGCCGCAGGAACTCAATGTCCAGGGGCCGTAGGCTGCCCGGGATAGGACAGTGACAGTAGGGGGTGGTGGATGGATGAGTGAGTGAGGGACAAAAGTTAACCCAAAGCTCCCATCAAGTAGCCCTCCCACTAAGTGGCCCTCACACAGCCAGTGGGTCACCTCACCAATGGCCAGTGGGTGGCACAAAGTACACGCAGCAGTGCACACGGGTGTCGGGGATATGGCGCTGGCGGGTGATGAGGAGCTCCTCCTGTAGGTAGTGCTCATACTGTTGGTTGATGTAGCTCAGGATAGGGTCCCAGCTGGGGCAGAGATGTCCACTCAGCATCATCCCCTAGGACTCACCACTTCCTGGCCTCTGGGTGGTCTATCTACATTCTCAGAGACACACAGAAACCTCTGCCTCTCATAAAGTGAGCATGGGAATAGCACTTATTGGCTGGGCCTGGTGTCACAGCCACTCAAGAAACTAAGGCAGGAGGATTACAAGTTCAAAGCCAAGACTGGGAAACCAAGTCTCAAAAACAAAAAGTAAAAGCTGGAGCTGGGGACGGCGTTCAGTGTTTGCTAACATGGACCACGTCTTAGGTTCACATATGCATATCCTAATATCTGCATCAATATGTCACATGTGTATGGAATTTGCTTGGTGAGGGAAGGGCAGGCATCAAATAACAACTGGTCACCAGAATGGTTCAAGACACCACTGGTTCTCACCTAGAGGCTGCACTCTGTGTGTGTGTGTGTGTGTGTGTGTGTGTGTGTGCGCGCGCGCGCGCGTGTGCGCACCTGTGTGGAGGTCAGAGGTCACTTTTGGCTGTCTTTCTTAGTTGTTCTCTACCATGTAGCTATGCCTGATTTTGAATTATCTTATTATGTGTGTTTTACCTGCATGACTGTGGTAATTTGAATATTATTGGCCTCCATAAGCTCATAGAGAATGGCACTGTTAAGCCACTGTGTGGCTTTGCTGGGCATTGGTGGCGCATACCTTTGATCCCAGCACTCAGGAGGCAGAGGAAGGTGGATCTCTGTGAGTTTGAGACCAGCCTGGTCTACAAGAGCTAGTTCCAGGTCAGCCTCCAAAGCCACAGAGAAACCCTGTCTAGAAAAACAAAAACAAAAACAGCAAAAGGGGTGTGGCTTTGTTGCAATAGGTATGGCCTTGTTGGAGGAAATTTGTCACTATGGGGGTGGGCTTTGAGGGCTCATATATGCTCAATCCATGCCCAGTGTCTCAGACCACTTTCTGTTGCCTGCCAAGATCAAGATGTAGAACTCTCAATTCCTTCTTCAGTACCATGTCTGCCTGTATTCCACCATGTCACACCATAATGATAATGGACTAAATGTTTCTTCTTTATCAGAGTTTCCATGGTCAGCTGGGTAATAGTGGTGCATACCCTTAATCCCAGCACTTGGGAGGCAGAGGCAGGCAGAGTTTGAGGCCAGCCTGGTCTACAGAGCAAGTTCTAGGACAGCTAGAGCTATGCAAAGAACCCTGTCTTGAAACAAACAAACAAAAAAAAAGAGTTGCTGAGGTCATGGTGTCTCTTCACAGCAATAGAAACCCTAACTAAGACAATGGCACAATGAAGATCAGAGGAGGTCACTGGATCCCCTGGAACTGGACCAGGGTCTTCTTCAAGAGCAACAACTTCCCTTAAACTCTGAGCCATCTCTCCAGCCCATGACTTAGAACTCCCTATTAGACCAGGCTGTTCTTGAGCTCAGAGAGATCCACTGCCTTTGCCTCCAGATCAAGTGCTGGTATTAAAGGCAAATGTCAGCTGGGCATAGTGGTGCATGCTTTAATCCCAGCACTCAGGAGGCAGAGGCAGATGGATCTCTGTGAGTTTGAGGTTAGCCTGGTCTAAGAGTGAGTTCCAGGACAGCCAGGGCTACACAGAGAAACCCTGTCTCAAAAACAACAAACAAAAGGCAAGTGCCACTGACTTGACCTGGTATGCTGAGAGAATGTCTCTCAATGACCTGGGACTTACAGGATCCCTTGTCTTTGCCTCCTCAGCAATAGGATCTCAGGAATACACCCTACGAGGGTTCTGGCAATAAGCTCATGTTCTCATGCTTTCAAGGCAAGCACTTCACTTGAAGGGACCGTTTCCCCCTCTGCTGGGCCTTTTGACTCTGGTCTCTTGTAAGTACAACACTCCTACACACTGCCTGACTTATTCTGCTCTTGCTGTGCAAGATTCTAACACTGAACTATCATACTAAGCTATGTGCTCAGCCCTGTTCTCATTTTTTGTTTTGAGATAAGAGTCTTGATATGTTGCTCAGGCCAGCTTTGAACTCATGATTCTTCTGCATCCGCTGCCAGAGTGCAGGGATTACAGAAGTAGGGAACTCTGGGCCTTTAATTGAGCACCAACTGTGTACTGGACAGCTGCCTGAGACCTGTACATACTCAGCACTCTTCAGCTTTGGAGGGTGAGGTGAGTATAGGAAACCGGTTCACAAGTGACACAGGTCACTCCAGGGTGGTTTTCCACAGACCTTGCGGGGACAGGGGCTGCACACCACAGGACCCACCACTTGTCATTGTTGATCTGGTCTCCAAAGCCAGGTGTGTCTGTCACTGTCAGCTTCAGCTTCAAACCCTTCTCCTCGATGACTGTAAGAGGGAGAGAGATTGAGAACTTTGGCCCTGGCAGGGCCCCTGGGGGCAGGCAGGCTCACTCACCATGTGTCACAGAGTGCAGCTCCAGGGTTTGTGGCATGGGTACCTCCAGGTTGGGTAGACTTGACTGCCACACTTTGGACTTGAACAGCGTGTTCACCATGGTGGACTTGCCCAGCCCACTCTGCCCTGGGAGATACAGAACACAGAGGCAGAGGTATGTATGTGTGTATATATATATATATATATATATATATATATATATACATATGTCTCATAGGGTGTGTGGTGTGTGTGTGCGTGTGTGTTTGTGTATGCGTGTATGTGTGTGTGTGCAGGAAGATAATAGGACAACTTTTGGGAACTGGTTCTGTCTGTGGGTTCTGAGCCATCTACTGTATAAACATCAACAATAGAAATAGAGCAAGGTCATTCGTGGTTGCTGTGTCTGGAAGGGCCCTCATCCATGATTACCCTTGGCTAGGGTAATCCAGTGGTTTTGTATCTAATTACTCAACATCACTCATATATTTAATTTCAACTCTTCTGTGAGCTGGTAGGCCAGAGTGGAAGATTGTGTCCAGGACAGGTAACAGGTGAGGGACCATGCCCATGGAATCTTCTTTCATGTTCTCCTCTGTGGCTCTGCCCCTAACTTACCTACTACCATGATGTTGAACTCGAACCCAGTCTTCATGGCCTTGATCCTCAGCTGGTCTAGCACAGCCTCAATGCCCACAGAACCGAGCATCTCACAGGGTGGTGTCCTGGGGCTGGAAGGCCTTGAAGAGCAGGGAGAGGGTGTTCGCCTCTCGTCCATGGGGCCGAGGATACAATGATGCCTGTTGCAAGAGAGAAGTGTCCTGTTACTAGGGCTGGGGCTCAGAGGGGCTATTCTGAGTAAACTTTTCTTTTGAGAAAAGGTCTTAAGTAGCCCAGGTTGACCTCTCTCCACTCTATAGCTGAAGATGACCTTGAACTCCTAATTCTCCTGCCTCCACCTCCAAAGTCAAGGATTACAGACTTGTACCACCATGCCCAGTTTTAAATTGTGCTGAGGATGGAACCCAGGGCTTCATGCACACTGGGAAAGCACTCTGCCAGTAGAGCTACATTCTGGTCCATTCTGCAGCCACCACCCCTCAGTTTTACACTGCAGTTTAGGCCAATCTGGAACTCCCTAAGTAACTCAAGCCCAGACAGCCTTGAGTTTGTGGCAATCCTCCTGCCTCTATTTCCCAAGTGCTGGGATTATAGCTGTTTACCACTATATCTATCTGGAGTTTTCACTTCCAAACCATAACTGGCTTGTCCCTGGCTATGCTCTATACCTCCTGGTCAGACTGAGTCCCCCATCCTGAGACACTCTTGTCTTAGGAATCTACCCTTTCCCTAGTCTTCTTATCAGTGACCTGCCCACTCAGACCCCAGTGTTTGTTGCTGGACTGGAGTCCTTAAAGAGGCACAGTTAGCTAGAAATGGGCTCTCTATGTCTCAACAGCGAACTTGAGGAAGGGGCTTTCGAACAGATCCTTCACTTTCCCCATTGGACAAAAAGCTGATTTGGAAGAGATGAAGTGACAGATCTTTAATGAAGGAAGAAACACACACACACACACACACACACACACACACACACACACCAGGGTACAGGGATTAGGAGATAGGCTGCAATGGGCAGGCACCATTGGGCAACAACAGAAAACACAGAGAAAGAGAAACTGTCTCTTGTGGCACCTGGTGGATGAGTCCCTTGGGGGAGTGGGACCAGCTGGCAGGCTCTGGGGTGTGTTGAGGGGGAGGGGAGGGCTGGCAGTTAGATACAGAATCTAAACCTCCTTCCTTCTTCCTGTGTCCTACCCCCTCCCCCTCATGCAGGAGGGGCTAAGGCCAGGGACCTGTTGCTTCACCCTAAGCTCTGACACCCTAATACCAGGCAGTGGTCCTGACCCGACATAAGACTCCCCGTTAGAGATGGGAGCCAACTCCCTCATCAAGACTCCTGGTTGATAAAAGCCATTTTCCACTTCCAAGTCCATGTGCTTTCTGTTCAGGAACTGTGAATGGCATCCCACTGCCTAGAAACTGGTACCCCATGGGTAACACTGTCTCTGGGCGCCTACCTTCGGGGAACTCTGGGATTGGAAGTAATCTGCACCCTATGTTGTCATGGTTTTTATCTCAGGTTACAGATAGGAGAGTAAAGCCTGAAGTTCAAGGTCACACATGGAGGGGGGAAGTAGCCGAGCTAGAGCAGAAGGCAGCCTGTTCCTCCTGTTTCCTGTTTGCAGGGGATATGCCCTACACCAATATATTTTAGATGACAAGAGGAGCTTGATGGAACACATCTGAAATAATTCCAGCACTTTGAGAGGCTGAGGCAGAAGGATTTTGAACTTGAAGCCATCTTCATCTACAGTTACATCCAGTATCAAAAAAAAAAAAAAAAAAAAAAAGGTATAGGGTGGAACTACAGTTAGAACAGTGGGACCTGAGTTTGATCCCAGCACCCACATGGTGGCTCACAACCATCTATAACGTTAGTCCTAGGGGATGTGACGACTTCTTTTGGCCTCCTAGGGCATTGCACACACATGGTTCAGAGACAGGTATACAGGCAAAATATCCATACACATAGAATAATAATAATAAAACTCAGATCTCTGAGTTCAAGACCAGCCTGGTCTACAGCACAAGTTCCAGGACAGCTAGGGCTACATAGAGAAACCCTATCTCAAAAAACCAAAAATTAATAAAAAAGCCCTGGCCACTCTGCCCTCTTGAATGGGTGACATAAGGCTTTCCTTTTGAGACAGGATGTCACCTGTCCGGGCAGCTCTCAATCTGCTTTGGAGCCTGCCCTGGAACTAGTTCTTGTAGATCAGGCTGGTCTCGAACTCACAGAGATCCACCTGCCTCTGCCTCCTGAGTGCTGGGATTAAAGACTTGTGCCACCACCATCCAGCTTAGAAGCATTTTTTCCAATTGAGGTTCCCTTTTTTCTGACAACTCTAGCTTGCATCAGGTTAGCAGAAAGCTAGCCAGTGCAGGGTGCTCGTTGCCAAACCTGATGATATGAGTTCAATCCCCCAAATCTATGTGAACATGGAAGGAGAAGACCTACTTCCAGGAGCAGTCCTCTGACTTCAGTCCCCTGACCTCAGTCCCCTGTCCTCTGACCTCAGTCCTCTGATCTCAGTCCTCTGACCTCTGATCTCTGTCCTCTGACCTCAGTCCTCTGACCTCAGTCCTCTGATCTCAGTCCTCTGACCTCTGATCTCTGTCCTCTGACCTCAGTCCTCTGACCTCAGTCCTCTGATCTCAGTCCTTTGACCTCTAATCTCTGTCCTCTGACCTCAGTCCTCTGATCTCAGTCCTCTGACCTCTCAGTCCTCTGACCTCTCAGTCCTCTGACCTCTGACCCCTGATCTCAATCCTGACCTCAGTCCTCTGACCTCTGATCTCAGTCCTCTGACCTCTCAGTCCTCTGACCTCTCAGTCCTTTGACCTCTCAGTCCTCTGACCTCTGACCTCAGTCCTCTGATCTCAGTCCTCTGACCTCTGATCTCAGTCCTCTGACCTCAGTCCTCTGACCTCTGATCTCAGTCCTCTGACCTCAGGCTTCTGACCTCTGATCTCAGTCCTCTGATCTCAGTCCTCTGATCTCAGTCCTCTGACCTCTGATCTCAGTCCTCTGATCTCAGTCCTCTGACCTCTGATCTCCAACATACACATTGTCACACGTGTTGCCCCCAGCAACAACATGCACACACACACACACTAAACAAATTCACAAATAAATAAATAAATAATGCAAACAAATATTCCAACCTTTTTTCTTGCAATTAAAATTGACGACAAAGCCGGGCGTTGATGGCGCATGCCTTTAATCCCAGCACTCGGGGAGGCAGAGGCAGGTGGATCTCTGTGAGTTCGAGACCAGCCTGGTCTACAAGAGCTAGTTCCAGGACAGCCTCGAAAAGCCACAGAGAAGCCCTGTCTTGAAAAAACAAAAACAAAAACAAAATAAAATAAAATTGACGACATCTGGGGCTGGAGAGATGGATCAGTGGTTAAGGGCACTGCCTGTTCTCCCAGAGGACTTGGGTTTGCTCTCCAACACCCACACTGGGACTCAACTCTATGTAATTCCAGTTCTGGGTTTCCAACTCCCTCTTCTGGCCTCCAAAGGCACTGCACACACATGGGGCACAGATACACATGCAGGCAAAACATTCATACATGTACAGGAAATTAAACTGACCATCTCAGTCTTTTTTGGCAATAACTCCATAGCCTCACAAGCTAGGTGAGTATACTCCTCAAGTTATAACTGCAGCCTAGGAGTTTCTTTTCTATTCCTCACCCCTCCTTATATCTCTGTGGCTCCAGGCTTCTTTTATCCAAACCCATCTCATTTGATCCTTTCTGACATGTTTCCTGGCATTGACTTGGCAAGGCCTAAGGTTTGTATGTTGGGAGGGGTTGACAGATGTTCTCTGTGAGGTCTCAGGCCTGTGTTGTGACCACTAGTCAACTCCTCCCAGGTGATAGTAGGTGGACAGGGGTGGCAGTGTGCTAGCACAGCTGTGGACTAAAGGCATAATCACTCACTATTCTTGGTGACTATGCTGTAAGGTGTGTCCTTACAGGTTCTACCCCTTGTACTCACCTCACCTATCCTAGTCCCAGCTGGTTCTGTCCTCTGTCCACCTCCTTTTGAGCTCCTCCTCCACCTTTCACTTCTCTTCAGACAGCACTGTGCTGGCTAGTTTAAGTCAACTTGACACAGGGAGCCATCTGAGAGGAGGGAACCTCAACTGAAAAACTGCCTCCATAAGACTGGGCTGCTGGCAAGATTGTAGGGTATTTTCTTAATTAGTTATTGATGGAGGAGGGCCCAGCCCATTGTGGGTGGTGCCACCCTGAGCTGCTGGTCCTGGGTTCTATAAGAAAGCTGGATGAGCAAGCCCTGAGGAGCAACCCAGTGAGCAGTACTCTTCCATGGCCTCTGCATCAGCTTCTGCCTCCATGTTCCCATGTGATGGGGATGATGTCCTTCTGTATGCTGTGAATAGATGTTTCTCTTATTGGTTGATGAATAAAGCTGTTTCAGCCTATGGGCAGGTAGCATGTAGCCAGGCAAGAAATATAGGCGGGGCTACCAGACTAGAATTCTGGGAGGAGGAACACAGAGAGTGAGTCTCAAGATAAGATGCCATGTAGCTGCCGAGAAAGCAAGAAGTCTGGGCATCACCGGGTAGGCAAAGACCACGTGGGAATACACCAATTAATAGAAATGGGTTAATAATTAAGAGAGAGCTAGCCAATAAGAAACTTGAGCCATCGGCCAAACAATAAATTGTAATTAATATAGCCTCAGTGTGTTCTTTTGGGAATAAATGGCTGTAGGATTGGGTGGAACAGAAACTTCTGTCCACCTTCCTTCCCTGTGTCAGTTTTTGCTTTGGCTTCCCTCAGTGGATTGTGATTCAGGATATGTAAGACAAATAAACCCTTTCCTTCCCAAGTTGCTTTTGGTTATGGTGTTTCATCACAGCAATAAAATCCCTAACTAGGACAGACATTGCTACCATGGACTAAAACCATGAGCCAAAATCAACCTTGCCTTCCTTGTTTTTCTTTGCTATTTTGTCCCAATGAAATGCAAGCATCTTAAAACAGCATCTGAAAAAATTCTGAGAAAATTCCATGGGATCATCAGTGCAAGGAATTCCCATATGTTGAGGCTGGCTTTGGTGTGCACACCTTCAATCCTAGTGGTGGATTTCTATTAGTTCAAGTACAGCCTAGTCTAGATAGTGAGTTCCACAACAGCCAGGACTATGTAGAGAGACCCTTTCTCTGGAATAAGTAAGCAAACAAGCAAGCAAGCAAACAAATAAGTCCCTGAGGAAGCAGACACTGTTCATGTTCAGCTTTACAGATAGTACTACGAAACAGGGTCAGAGGATGTGTCTAAGATCACACTTTGGTTGGGCTGGAGAGATGGCTCAGAGGTTAAGAGCACTGGCTGCTCTTCCAGAGGTCCTGAGTTCAATTCCCAGCAACCACATGGTGGCTCACTACCATCTGTGATGGGGTCTGAGGCCCTCTTCTGGCCTGCAGATAGAGCACTAATATACATAAAATAAATAATTTTTTTAAAAAAGTGGCTATGGTGGAATATCCATGCTATGGTGTCACATCCTTTAATCCTAGCACTCCAGAGGTAGAGGCAGGCAGATCTCTGTGAGTTCAAGGCCAGCCTGGTCTACAGAGCTAGTTCCAGGATAGCCAGGGCTACATGGGGAAATCCTGTCTTGAAAAATCAAAAGGAAAAAGAAATTGTTGTCATACTGTCACATGTGTGTAGGCCACATGTGTGAACATATCTGTGTATAGATAGCATCTGGACCCTCAGGTGTCAAGAATACAGGGGAAAGTGAGATCTGCTTTCATTGGAGAAGGCCAGAGGTTCCAAGGTCAAGGGCCCCAGGCCCTTACAGACTCTAACTTCTGGAACTGTGAGTCCCCATTAAATGCTTTGTTTTATAAGTAGCCTTGGTCATGGTGTTTTGTCAAAGCAATAGAAAAATAACTAACACAGCTGGGATTCTGCAAATAGGTGAAGAAAATGTCTGGGGTATAGAGTAAATGACAGCCTGAGGCTTTCTTCCCTGGCCCCTGCAGTCAGCTGAGCCCTGGCCTTTGCCTGTTCTACAATCTCAGAAGGCCCCGAGGGGAGGGCGGGGCTGGTTGCTAAGGTTTCAGGTGGTATGGATCCGGAAGCAGGAAGCAGTGAGCTCCCAGGACTCTGGGACCTGCCTGGCTTGGGGGAGAGGGCACCATTAGAGTGTAGGTGGGGCACTGGAAACAAAACTTGCTAGGGAGAGAGAAGGTAAGAGGATGGTGGGTGGGTAAGGGCTGCCCAGGTAAAGGTCAGTGGGGACAGGGAGCCGGGGCTGAAAGGGCCAGCAGAGTGAGGGAGACAAGCAGGTCTGCGGAGGAGACGGTGGTGAGAGGTGTGACAACGAAGGGAGGAGGTTGCTGGTCTGGAGCAGAGGGAAGAGGAGGAGGAGGAGGAGGAGGAGGAAGAGGAGGAGGTGACTGGAGGACTCATGGGACAGAAGGCAGGAGGGGTCAGGGAGTCACCTTAGGGTATGGTCAAGGTTGTGGATGACCTGAGAGAGGCCTGGACTGAGATGGCCCTTTGGGGGGCTGGGGCAGGTAGCCAAAATGGGACAGTCTGCTGATGAGCTGAGGCAGGAGCTGGAGGCCACTGCAGAGGAAGTACTGGGGAGGCTGAAGAGCCACCAGCTGTTCCAGTCTGAATGGGACATCGCTGCCTTTGTGGTCTTTCTCACATTTGTGGGTGAGTGTGGCTCCTGATCCCAGGCTTCTACCCTGGTGCTGGGGCAGGGGCCACATCCGGATGCCTGTCTGTATGGTCCCCAGGCACTGTGGTGTTGTTGCTGTTACTGGTTGTCATTCACTGCTGCTGCTGCTGCTGCTGCAGCTCCCCCAGGCCCCGGAAGGTGAGCCCCACGAAGGTGAGCCTGGGAAGGGGTGGGTGTCACTTAGGTAGGAGAGCTCCCATAGCCCCATAAGTGACAGCAGGCAGGGGCAGGGTCTTCTGCAGAGGGTTTAGGCAGAGCTTAGGAGTGTTACCCACAGGACTTCTCTGTCTTCTCTCTTGCAGGAAAAGCCCAAGGGTGTGGATAACTTTGCTATGGAACCTTAACGCTAGATCTTGGCATGGGTCCTGCTAGATGACAGTAACAAAGCCAATGTTTGCCAAAGCCTGAGTCTGAACTGTGTTCTAACCCCTGCCATGATCGTGTGGTGGCTATGATGCACACATGGCTCTTTGGATTCAGGGCCTGAACTTCCAGGCTGACTCTGGCCACTATCCCACGGGGCCACTCTGCAGCCAGGAGTCCCTTTCTCAAAGGTATGTTCTGCCTGGGCGCAGGCTGTGATGCCAGCACTCAAGAGGCTTCGGCAGGAGGATTGTAAACTCCAGGCCAGACTGAACAGAATGGACAGACTTCCACTACCAAGGCCTTTGACATGGTGTTGAGCGGGTGAAATCAGGTGGAAGGGACATGGGAGGCCATTGATCATCAGGGTCCTTCAACCTAGTCCCTCCTAAGCAAGGAGACAGACAGAAAACAGGGCTCCAGTCAAAACCTGGCCTTTATTTCCTAGAGGTGGGTTGAGGTCACAGAACAAACCATCCCAGCCTTGCAGCTTATTCACAGGGATACTTCCCCCTGCCTGGGTCCCTCTTCCTTTCTGCAACTCACAGCTCAGTGTCAACCCCCATCCCTCACTGAGAGAATGGGAGAGGGGAGAGCCCTAGGCCTTGTCCCACCCTTAGTCCAAAGGTTCCCACAGTGTCCAGGAAGGCAGGCTTAGGAGCATGACCACACCTCAGCCCACCTACTTGACTGCCTCTCCCCCAACCGTCCCCCCTCCCCCATCATAACAACCAAGCCAGCACCCCTTTCTCTAATATTTTCTTCCAGCAGTGCAAATGTGTTACAGGGAGGTGAGCAAGGAGAGCAATAACTTGGGGGTGCCTGACAGTGACAGTGACAGGCACTACAAGGGGTATGTGCTGGGGAGAGGGGCCTAAGGCAGGGCTACCATCCTGGGAGTAGTAGTCTAGCAGGTGCTTGCTCAGAAGGGTCGGGAGCTCCAGTAGCTGGAAAACACAGAGATCTGCAGAGGGAGGGGGTGTGGTCAACAACAGGAGAGGGCGGGTATCCACTGGCTTCAGTGGGTGTGACCAAGGAGGTGCTATAGATGAAGTCAGTGGGGTGCTATATCCCCCAGAACCCTGATGAGATGTCAAGGTTAGAGAAGGGGATCATGTCTAGGAAGTGTTGCCAGTCTACTGGTGTGTATAGTACAATGGGCTTTACAACTTGGGGGCACTTGGGAAGTATGAAGTGGCCCCTGAATGGCTTCCCCTTCCCCATATGCCCTGGACACACCTTATCCTTGAGCTGCTGGCAGAGCTGCAGGGAGACAGTGAAGTACACCAGGGCGTCATTGAGCCAGGGGATCACGCATTCTACCTTGTGTACATGGCTCACCTCTAGGCGCTGTGAGCCCCACTCACTGGGGAAAGATGAGAAGTGGATCCCTGAGGGTAGGCCAGAGAGGGTAGGAGGGAAAGGGCTCTAGGATATCTTACTGTATACTTACAACATGGCCCCAGGGCTGTGGAGCACTGCACCTCCAGAGGGGCGGAAGTTCTAGGCAGAAGCAGCAGAGTCTGTGAGGTCTAGGTGGAAAGTCTTCAGCAGGGCTGGTGTGGGGGCACTGGGAGGCGGGGAGAACTTTACCTTGGTGGAGGTGGGCTGCAGAGCGTGCAGCTGGTACACGGTGAGGCACAGCTTGTTGAGGTTGATGTAGACATTGACCAGCAGGTCAGAGGGTAGGGTAGGTGCAAACATCCGCTGGGGGAGGGTGGAGGAGGGATGAGCACCTCTCCCACTTTAGGCTGCATCACTACAGGGTATGGAATTACCCTGGGAGTGGGGGGGGGGGACCCCAGTCCTATCCCCAGGTGATTCTCCATAGACTGGGGTACTGGAGGCTCCCATGTATCCCCATAATCTCTGTGTGCAGCTAGGTTGGAAGCCACTGGCTGAAAACTGGGTTTACATTGCAGGCAGAATGCAGGATGGAGGTCAGGAACTCAACCCAGAAAACTGTCCAGGCACAGAACTCTAACTGGCTGGGCTTCTCAGTAGGGACCTCTCTCTTGGGGCAAGGGCTGTCTGAGGCACTAACCGTGAGGCCACTGGCAGCAATCTCAGGTAGGGTGAGGGTGGCTGGGGTAGTGAGCCGGTTTCTGGCTCTGGTCAATTGCAGCATCACAGCATCCATGAGCTGGGAAGGGGTAGGTAACAGCTGATACTTAGGCGGTAGCAGCTGGGGACTTCATATCCCAATCCCTAGCATCAGTGAGCAGCATCTTTAGCCTCTGCTCCTGCCAGGTACCATGGTTCCCAGGCCTAAACTTTGCAACCCTAGCAGGGGTGCTTGCCATTCTGAGGGCCTATCACCTGGGGGGGTCTTGGAAAAAAAGCTAGAGTCCTGGGCATCTGAGTCGGCTGTTCCCACATACTACGTGGCCTTGTTCTGTAACAGGTTTTTACCACCACCACCACTACAATAGGACTACTAACAGGTAGATCTTGGGGAACAGGGTACTTTACCTGAGTTATTACAGGTATCATTGCAGATGAGCTTTTAATAGGTGAGCAAATAGGGGATCAGAGTAGCAAAGAACTTAAGGTTGCACATCTCACATCGAGGCCCTGGGACTGGAACCAGGCTTGATACTGCAATTTAGCTTATAAGCCAGTAACTGTGGCTAGACCCGTGGACACTGACTGGGAAGGAGCAGCTTCCAGCGAAGCCTGGGCACATGGGGCTGGCACTGTTTCGGGATAAGTGGGTAGGACAGGAAGAGTCACCTTGAGGACCTCTGCTCCTGTCTTGAACTGGTAGCTCTCATCCCGGTTTGCCAGGAGGTAAATAGCTTGGCTCACGTGGTTCCTGGCATCCTGGATCTGGGAATAGCCCCACCACCCATATAACCAAAGTCTATTAGTTTCAAGGCAGTCACATTTCTGGGTTCTCAGTCTGATCCCCTAACACAGGACCTTACTTGATGGGGAAACCTCTCAGAAGAAGGTAGTGCTACCTATGGTCACAATACCCTCCAGAACTGTAGTCTTTGAAACTGGATGGCTAGGCCTCGGACAATCCTGGCTGCCAAGGCACACTGGCTCTTGGCACTGCAAAAGACAACCCCTAGTACAGCCGCAAAGTAATAAGCTTGCAGGGCTCAAGGGAGGAAACAAGCAAGGATGGGAGAGACCTGAGAACTAAGAAAGGCCACAGGATTGGGTGGTGGAGCACACCTTTAATCCCAACATTCGGGAGGCAGAGGCAGGTGGATCTCTGAGTTCAAGGCCAGAGAAAGTTCCAGGACAGCTAGGGATATACAGAGAAACCCTGTCTCAAAAAACCAACCAAACAAAAAACCCCACAGGAGTGGGAAAGAGTGGGGCCTCAGAAAGAGCAACACACATAGACAAAGGCCCTGGGGTATGGACCAGCTTTAGGCCAGGTTGTGTGTATACATGCCCATGTGTTTCCTGTGGTCTATGAGTAGGAAAGAGGCCTGTGTATGATCCCAGATACATGGAAAGCCAGTCTTGAGTAAGTGATATTCAAAGGAACCTTTAGCTGTCCTTACATAGCCAAAGTCACTAAGGTAGGGCCAGCTTCACATCCCTCATGTGGAGCAGGCTCTAGGGCCCCAAGGCACCACCACCCTAGTTCTGCTAGGAAACAGCCTATGTTTGCTGTGGTCAAAGTCCCTACTGCCAGACTTCCCCATGAAAGGTAACACCAGGGAGCCCTTTGCTGGGGCCTGACTCCGGTTGGGCAAGGGATCCTCACCTGTTGTAGTTTCCATTGCTTGTCCTCCCGGAAGGCGAAGTGTAACAGTTGGTTGTTCCGAGGCATCTTCAAGTTCACATCCTATGGGCCAGAATGTGATAAGCAGGCAGAGGTACCTACCCCTATGCTTCCTGACAGGAATGCAGTAGATGGGTGGCTGAGGCCCCAGGCACTTTGGAGTTAAGTGATCAGGAATGTCAAGAAATAGGAACCCAAGCCCAGGAGAACCACAGAGCAGCGAAAAGGAAAGGAAGTTGAGAAAGGGGAAGGTCTAGAGGGGAGGGGAGCTCTGTAAAATCAAGACTGAGCCACAGGGAGGGACTGTTCCCATGCCTTAAGGCCTTGCATAGTCCAGATTTGAATTGCTCAGATGTTGAGCAATTCAACTTTGATCCAGGGCCAGCATGCCTAGGCTGCTAATGCTCACATTTCACAGGGTACAGATGCCAGGCTGTGCTAAGGGTGAAGCCACCCACTCCTTGCACCTCGTACAAACTATATGCCTATCTCATGAGGTAGTGTGAGGGTTGCCTGTCAAATGACAGACATACAAGGAAACAGCTCCAGAGAGGATAAAGTTCCTGTCATAGTCATGCAGCTAGCTGGTGGCAGAGCTAAGAGGCTGTCCTCATCACCAGCAGGGCTGTTATGGAATAGGGCCCCCGGGGGTGGGGGTGGAGACACAACTCACCGCCTGGCTGAGGGCATCCCCTTGCAGAGTCAGCACACCCTTCACCTGGTCTGTGCTATAACACACAGAAGTCAGAGGGGTACTCCCTCCCCTCCCCCTCCCCCTGCAGGCTGTTTCATAGCAACACCAGCATTCCCTCCCCCAGGTACTCCAAGAGTACCCTCCCAAAAGCTCCTGCCCAACCCAGCTCACCCACAGCTGCCTAGGATGAAGTTCTCCTGTTTGGTAGGTCCCTCTGTGCTGGGTCCTGGGAGAGTGAAGCGGAGAGAGGCCTCCTGTGGAAGACAGGGCAGTCCCAACACCTCAGTCTGGCCAGTACTCCATTCCAAGGCCCTAGATACCTTGCCAGATTAGCCAGGAAAAGGACAGGCCTTACCTGGCTCCTCTGCCTTTGCCCCACCAATCCTCCAAGCCTCTGTGCGCTCACACCTGTTCATTTCATGGTCCTGAGTAGACCAGGTAAGAACACAGAATGGAGAGGCACATTACCTAGCTAACTGGAGTGCAGTGATGCGGTGTTAGGGGCAGAGGCATGGAATTATGCAGTAGTCAGTCATGTTTTCCTAGATCACAGTGCTAGGCATTTTGTGACATGGTTTATTCATCTTCACAACAGCTCTGTGAGCCTGATTAGGGGGAGGGAACAGGCTCAGAGATGTGGGTAACTTGGCTGAGATCACACTGCAGGGCAAGGCATCCTTCAGAGCTCGAATTGTCAGTTTTGTTTTGAGACCGTGTTTCATGATGAAGCCCACGGCTTCGTGATCCTCTAGCCTCACCTTCTCGAGTGCTGGGATTACAAGCTCTCACCACCACTCTGCCCATAGACGAAATGTCACTGTTTCAAAGTTAGTCTCACTTAAGACCCGGTGTTAACCCTGGGGTCTAAGACCTCGCTGCACACACACGCCACCTTGCCTGCGTCTGGACTGTAACTCTTCTGAGAGCGTGGGTACCTGAACGCCACCACGCTCAGCAGCCGCCGCTGCGGGACCGATGGAAAGAGGGATGGCAGGCCGGGAGTGACCTGCCCTTACCTTGAGGATGTCCTGCAGCTGTCTTAGCACGGCGTGCACCTCAGCGTTCAGCAACCAGCGGAACTCTTCCTCCTGCGGACAGCGCGGCG